GGTGTCCTCGTTTATTGTACCAACTGGATTATACTCTTACAATGTCATGAGTTTTGGTCTTAGGAATGCCCCAGCCACTTTCCAGCGGTTGATGAATCAGGTGGTGGCTGGGTTGGAAGGTTGTGCTGTTTACTTGGATGATGTGGTGGTTTTCAGCGACACATGGACCCAACACATGCTTCGCATCCGACACTTGTTTCAGCATCTTCAGGATGCTCGTCTAACTGTGAACTTAGCCAAATGTGAGTTTGCAAAAGCTACAGTGACTTATTTAGGAAAAGTTGTCGGGCAAGGCCAAGTAAAACCGGTAAGGACTAAAGTCAAAGCCATTGATGATTTCCCACCTCCTACAACAAAAAAAGAATTGATGAGATTTTTGGGGATGGCAGGTTACTATAGAAGCTTTTGTGAAAATTTTTCCACTGTGGTGGCTCCATTAACTGACTTATTAAAGGCTAAAGTCCAGTTTAAGTGGTCCTCGGCCAGTCAAAAGGCATTTGAAAATGTCAAGCTCCTCTTGAGTTCTGCCCCTGTTTTGTCTGCTCCAAGGTTAGATCAGCCATTCCAAGTACAAGTTGACGCAAGTCAAGTAGGTGCGGGAGCCATCTTGCTGCAGACTGATGAAAAAGGTGTGGACCACCCAGTATGTTTCTTTTCTAAAAAGTTCAATCAACATCAACTGAACTATTCTACCATTGAGAAAGAAGCCCTGGCTCTAATTTGGGCATTGCAACACTTTGATGTGTATGTGAATGGAGGTTCATTTCCTGTTGTGGTGTATACGGATCATAACCCTTTGACCTTTTTGCACTCCTTACAGAATCCAAATCAGCGTTTGGTGCGATGGGCCTTGTTTCTGCAACCCTACAACATTGAGATTCGGCACATTAAGGGCACGGAGAATGTGTTGGCGGATGCCTTGTCTCGTGCCAGTGATGGACCAGTTTAGCGGTTGCAGGGCACCGTGATGGACCCTCTGTTTGAAGGGGGGAGGTGTTACGGCTGCAGTGGTCTTTGCCTCTTTTCCTGGTATGGTTCTGGAGACAGGCCTTCTGCAGGTGTTCTGTGTTGCCCTGATTGGTGCTCCTCTGTGATAAAAGCTGCCAGGTGTGCAGCAGGGGAGAGCTTCCCTTCCTCCTCCTCAGAACACCTTGTGGATTGGTTCGTATCAGTGTGGTTGGGGTTTGTTTGTTGGTTTGCATTTACCCATTGAGGCCTACTTTTCAGGGATTAAAATCTTTGTTTTGGGCCATGCTCCCATACAATTTAATAAACACTATCTTCATTTAAACTGAAAATCCTTGTGTGGCCTCCTTTAATGTTACCCCCACCAAACAAGCCTGGTGGACGTAACACTAACCAATATTAGCCTATTGAAGGTATGTTCACTGTGCAAAAGTTTTAAACTACACCTATATTTTGCTTTTAAGTAGTTCAAATTTTAAAGTGGTCTCGATCAATAATCCTTCAGATGTTTTGAAGGTTTTTCTATGACCTATGGTTCTTTTAAATTTATTGATTTATACTTATTTTCTGTCCAGCTCTTGTAACCATGACAACCAACAGCAGATGAACAGATGAAAGTCATGTATTTTTGTCACGAAACCAAAGTTTGAGGTTCAGGCATGAAACTATGAATGGCTTGAGAATCAGGGACCATAAGAGGTTTAATAATTTGGCACTGAATGAGTGTGGGCATGGAGTTTAAGTAGTGGAGAGAACAGGTGAGCGGCATGAAGGTTGATTGCGGTGAATCAGCTGAGTGGGCGTGGTGACAGAGAAGTGACATGAGCAGACTTGAAGTGCAGACTGACAGGAGCTCAGGGATAAACAAAACATGAAGGAGAGGGGCAGAAAATGTGGCATGTCATGAAGGGGAAGTGAGCAGATTGGGGGGGGGGGCAGCGGGGGCCGCTGATTAGTGATGTCAAAATGAAGCTTTTTGAAGCATAGAATCATTTTGAACCATTGTGTCATAAAGTGGTTCACTACCCGAAGCTTCATTCAATTCCCTTGGGTGACATCTACAGGCAGTAGCGATTGTTGCACCAACTGAAGTCCTGCGAGTACGATGCACATCTTGCGTAATTAATAGCACTTATGTTTGTATATATGTGTGTTGTACATGTGTTTTTAGTACCTCATTAAAGATTCTGAGTAAATTACCCATATAACTCTAGGCTAATTTAAAAACAATGTGAACTGTGGGGGTGTGGGGGGCGGGGGGGTAGGGGTCCGTGTGTCCTCCCCCATAAAAATTGGAATAAAAGAGATGCCATTTCCTGCATTTTGGTGTATTTTAACAGGTTGTTAAACATTTGAATGAATGAATGAATGATTAAAAAAAAATGTCTTTACCAACACACATTGATGGTGTGAGCGGAGCAAAGCAGATTACTGAACTATGGCAGAAACATTATCATGATATTTTTAATGCTGTTAAAAGTAATGCATTTATTGTTGGAAATATTGATAGTTAAAAGTAATGCATTTATTGTTGGAAATATTGATAGTAATGACAATGTGGTTGTGTCCCCACAAGAAGTCTTTGAGATTGTAATGAAGCTGGATAATAAAGCATGTGGGTCAGATAGGGTATCTGCTGAGCATCTAAAATATGCAAGCAGGAAACTGTACCCTCTGCTTGCTATATGTTTTACAGGCTTTCTTATTCATGGAGTGTTACCTGACAAATTATTGTCTGTCATTTTAGTTCCTATTGTGAAGGATAGAGCTGGTCAAATTAACAGTAAGGATAATTACAGGCCTATAGCTCTGGCCGGCACCTTGTCTAAGGTACTGGAGAGGGCTGTTTTGAACAAACTGGAAAGATTTTTGCTGACCTCTGATAATCAGTTTGGTTTTAAACGTAAACATGGAACAGACTTGTGCATTTTTGCTTTAAAATAAATTTTAGATCTATACAACAGACACAACACCTCCATTTTTATGTGTTTTATTGATGCCTCAAAGGCCTTTGATTATGTAAGCCATGAAAAGTTGTTTCACAAGTTGTATAACCGAGGTGTCCCCAAATGTTTGGTGAGGATTCTTGTTTTTTGGTATGCTAATCAGCACATGTATGTAAAATGGGGAAACTCTGTATCAGATCCCTTCGGAGTTTCAAATGGTGTGAGACAGGGTAGCATCCTGTCTCCCTTTTTATTTAATGTGTACATGGACGATCTGTCAAAGCTCTTAAATGACTGTGGAACAGGCTGTAGGGTTGGTAACAGGATCATCAACCATTTAATATATGCTGATGATCTAGTGATTTTTTGTCCTTATACTGCTGGCCTGCAAGAGCTGCTGCAGGTGTGCTCCGATTATGGAAGAGACTTTGATATAAAATATAATTCTAAGAAAAGCAGCATCATGATTGTGCGGAGCAGAGAGGACTCCGAGTTGATGCTCCCTGATTTCTTTCTGTCAGGCAACAGGCTGAAAATCAGTAATGAATGTAAATACTTGGGGCACTATGTGACTGCAGACCTGTCAGATGATAGAGACATTTACAGACAATGTCGTATGCTCTATGGACAAGCTAACATGCTGATACGTAGGTTTGGACTGTGCTCAAAATCAGTTAAGATCCAACTGTTTAAGGCCTACTGCACTCCCATGTATACCGCTCACCTGTAGAGACGTTATAAAAGGAGCAGTATGTATAGACTAAACGTGGCATATAATGATGGCATGCGGATGCTGCTGAGGGTACCTCGATGGAGCAGTGCTAGCAAAATGTTTGTTGATGCAGGTGTGCCTACCTGCCCTGCGGTGCTGCGTAACCTCATGTATAGATGCATGTGTAGGTTGTCTGAATCTGAAAACTGTATCATCGCTACACTGACCAACCCTGGACTAAGCTCTGTACGATACTTTTCTACTTTATGGACTCATTGGCTTTTGAGCCTTTATAGAAAAACTTTTTAATTCTGTGTTTTTGCTGTTTTTTATGTTTTTTTTAATGGATCTTATATTGTGTCTGAAATAAAGTAAATGAAATGAATGAATTTGAATAAACTGGTTAAAAACAGGTCTCTCTTGTAAATGACGAGGGCCAATGAGACTAACAACCTGTATAAATAAAGGTTGAATTGAAATTACCATTTTAGAGAGCAACAATTAACAAGCCTGTGTATGAATGCACGTCCTTGGCAGTCTGTCAGGTGTCCTTGTTGGTGCTAAAATGCTATTTTAAGTTTCAGACTGTGTTATTGTTGGTATCTTTCATAGATGTAGCAAAGAAAATTGGAACAAATTGTATCTTTGCAATAGTCTGCCAGTAACAAAGTAACTAAAGAGCACATTTAAATTTGGTTACATTGTTTTATGTCAACACAAAACTGGTCCATCTCTTGAATGTAGGAGTTGTTCAGGACTGAAAGATTCATGTCAGAGTTAAGTGACTTAAGAAACAAACAAAAAATAATAAAATCTTGAAAAAAGGGACAAAAACAGGACTGAAAATTACCTGAAAATTATTCAAAAGCCAAAAAGACAGAAAACTTAGAGTTTCAGAAAGCTTGAAGAACTGCTGATCAAGACAAACATTAAAATAATACAAGTTTGTATAGTTGGGAGTAAAATATGATTAAATGTGACTCGGGTTAAACGAGTGTTTGTTAATTTGTGAAATTTAAAGCTGAACTGCAGTAAATTTGACCTAAACAAAGGCAATGAAGGAATACATATTAAAAAACAATCAAGTTGTTTAATCAGTAAAAAATCAATAGAACCTGCTATTTTTTGTCCTTCCAGTGAATAAGTTCCCGAGACAGAAGTAGAAACAAACAAAAATCTGCTGAACTGTACAGAAACTATCCACTCTCATGTGGTTGTGAAGCTTTTATTTCACTACATAATTTATCTGCCTACACATGTGTAGTGTTAGATAGTTGTCTGACTTGATCAAAGTACAAGTATAAAACTTTGGTTTTACTTGCTTAACTAGGCAATCTTTTTCTGCTTTTAGAAAGTTAGACATGTTTTTGACTCACCGACTCCAGTGATGAGGAGGAGGAATGAGGCGAGAACAACTCTTCTGTTTTTCTTCACCAGCGGATGGGACACCCACCTGAGAAACATGTTTTTAATGCACCTGTTTGTTTCTGTTTCTCTGTGTGAAGGTGTATATGAGTGCGTGTGCGGATGTTTGAGCTTACCCACAGCAGTGTGCAGAGAGCTGCGTGACCGAACTCAGTGTGCTGAAGGACCACTGGGAGCTGCAGTAAGACAGAGTCGAGGGGTCGCTGTGAATAAAGCACAAACAGATCTCATGTCACATGTTGAGCATGCATCAAGATAGATCTCATGTCACATTCGAACGATAAACACATGAGACACCAAGAAGACTCTTACTCATAGAACCCACCTGATTTTGAAGAAGTTATTGAAGGAGGAATTGCCATTGTTGCCCAGGACTTCTTCGTTTTCCAGGTTCTGAAACAGCAGCAGGCGTCACTGAACAGCCCGTCTCTACTTCCTGTACAGAGACAGGTGAACAGAGATGTGTGCGTACCTGGTACTTCAGGTTACTGTGCTCAGGGGAGCCAGTGGCAGCAGGGGAAGGATGAGACTGAGGTTTGGAGAAAGTCAGGGGACCGAATGTCATCTCTCCATCTCTGTCCTTGTCTCTGCCTTTCCACCCGTCTGTCTCTCCATCAGACACAACCCCCTCCTCTTCTCCATCATCCAGGACGAAGGCGTCATCAATAGTGAACTGCGCTGCCATCGTTTGCCTCCTACACCTTCAGGTCCTCCGACTTGGTTCTCACTGTGTACAGAGTTACAGCAGCACACTGTGAGACAGCTTGTTCATTATTTTAACATGTTCTCCCTCACAAACTGGTGCTGATGTTAGGATGAAATAAAAGGATTACAGTTTTTTTATAAGTGCAGTACGTCAGGGTGATATTAGAGGTCAGTCTGACAGATGATGATTGCAATAATTGTTTAAGATTGTCCTCCACAACATTTGTCTCGACAATATAGTTGTTTTTTTGTACAGAAATAATCATTTTCTTTTTTAAATTTTCCTTTGACCAGACAGCATTTAGTCAGTTTGGTAACAAAACAAGTTGAACAAATATCTTCTGTACCAGGGTGAGGTTGGCACTTGGCTGAAATCCAAATGGATGTTTAATCAATAAATTAGCTTCAGTTCACGCCATAAATGATTATTATTACAATAAATGACAACGTTTATTAAGACTGAAACACATCTGCAACATCTGCTTAAAAATGTTTATTTAGTAAGTTTTAGCAATGGCGTAAGGCTTACACAACCTAAAAAAAAAGTAATCCATCCATCTTCTTATTTGCTTTTTCCTTTGCAGGTTGTGGGGGAGTTGGTGCCTCTCTCCAGCAGTCACTGTGTGAGAGGCGGGGGACGCCCTGGACAGATAAAGTCCAACAAACGAGACAACCATTCACACTCTCACCCAGGGACAATTTAGAGTTACTAATGAACCTAACATGCATGTTTTTAGTCTGTGGGACAAAACTGGAACACCTGACAAACCCACACATGCACTAGATAACACACAAACTCCACACTAAAAGGCTGGGAAGCAAACTTGTAACTTTCTTGCTACGAGACGACAGCACTAACCACTGGACCATCGTAACCACAGTTAAATTTAAACAATTATCCAAGAGTTCAGTTGTTGTCAAGCAGAAATCATCGAACTAACCCAAGCAGCTACACGGTGGTGAAGTTGGTTAGCACTGCTGTTTCATAACAAACAGGCTGCAGGTTTGACTCCCAGATGAAGCGCTTTCTGTTTGGAGTTTGCATGTTCTCTCTGTGCATGTGTGGGTTTTCTCAGTCTAGTTTCCTCGGTGGCGGCTGTGGCTGAGTGGTTAGAGCAGTCGTCCTCCAATGCAAGAGTTGGGGGTTCGAATCCACCAGCAGTCACATATCGAAGTGTCCCTAGGCCAGACGCTGAACCCCTCATAGCCTCCGATGTGTGTCCCATCGGTGTATGCATGTGATCTAAAGCACTGATTAGTCTCTTTAGAATGATTTGTTCAATTAGCATTGTATAGATCTAGTAGAGTGCTGTATGAATGGGTAAATGAGGCACAAATTGTGTTGTAAAGTGCTTTGAGTATCTCGATAAGATAGAAAGGCGCTATATAAGTACAGTCCACTTACCATTTCCATTTACAACAGATCAAAAACATGCATGTTAACCTGATTGGTAACTCTAAAGTATCCCTAGGTGTGAGTGAGAATGAATGGTAGTTTGTCTCATTTGTCTCCATGTGTCCTTGTGATAGACTCAATCTGTCCCCTGCCTCCCACACGTTAACTACTGGAGATAGATACCAGCTCCCTGTGACCCTGAGCGAGAAGCAGATAAAGCCCATGCGTGGATGAATAATTAGGGCTGAGTACCAAACCTAGGTTCTTAAATGGCACCGACCGAACTGCACCGGTCGGTGCATGGGTTGAAACGTCACTCTTTTTTCCGATGTCAAATTTCGGTATTGGCTGTAACGTGTCACGTGGTTTCAGCATGCAGGCTGGTAAAACACCAGACATATGACAGACTACGTGTTTACACCCAGAGCTGTATTGAGCTGCCGCACCTAATCTATGTATAATGTATGTCTATGGTGCTGGTGACGCCCACAGACGGGTTCACGTGTGCAGTGCGTGTTGTCGAACGGCTTCGACAACACACGAGCAGACAGTTGCTTCGTTTTTCTCTGCAAGAAGAGAGAAGGGCAGCAGCAAATATAAAATAACGTTTATTTCTAACATCTGGCATCATTTTAAAGTGAAACATTAGATTTTATGACACACTGCTATGATGTACTTTTAGGTCAGCATTCATTTTTTGGTCATCTTTCTATGAGATTGATGAATACAATTAAAACTAGTTTTTTATGTTAACTTGAAATGTTCTTTTGAATGTGCGTTTTCTTTGGCCAGCCTCCAACAGCTTGAATACAAGTGGCGGCTCCGGAGCAGAAATATTAGTGGGGTAGACATTATTTTCTTGAAAGTTTTTATAAATTACGCTACATTTTTTGTGGTTGAAAAAAAGGGATATATGTTGCTTAAAATTTAATTTATTGTTGTTGGGTTTTTGTGTGTGTGTCTACAAAGTTTTTTTTTCTCCTCTCTCCTGGTTGAAATTGTGTCTTGTGAAAAACAGTCTAATAATCAGAGAAACTGACTGATTTAAATTTCATCATACTGAGGTATGCAACTCAACAGTGACCCTCATACCGAGGATTTAAAGACAGCGTATCTCCACTGTTGGGCTCAGCAGGTTTCGCTGCAGCTATTCCTGGGTTTGAGCTCACGTCAGGTCTAAATAAACGTTGTATCAATGCAATAAACCAGCCGAATGTGTCCACAGGGCAGAAAATCAGACATCCCAAATGAAAGTCTATTGGTCCTGCCTGTTCGGATCTGCTTTACGAATGCGGGTCATTGGATGGTACTACCCCATAACGGTAAATAAGAAAAAACTGAGGATGAATCAAAAAATCTTTTTAAATTCCACTTGAAATTGTCACAATAGTTGAAAAACCACACTAAACAAAGCACAGCAAGCTCAGTAAATAAGTAATTTACATTGTTTATTAGAAGAAACTACTTTGTGGGACTAATTATATTTTTACATGGGGCTCCACCCCACCTGCTCCTTTGGACCAAGTGATGAATACATTAGTTCAAAATTTCAGTTTATTTGAAAGGAAAAACACCAAAAGGAGGTGTAGGAAGTGGTTGAATGTGATTAATGGTACTTTTACATCTATAAAAGGTGAAATTAAAATGATTACCACAATTTATACTCAAACGGTTTTTGGATTAAATTCCCATCGTAAATATTTTACGAGTGTGGTTTGTTTGTTAAGATGTAACATTTGTGTAATAAGTTACAGATGGGAGTTGTCTGGTTTCCACAGCTAGATCCTCCTTTCCTGGAAACTGACGTACAAGTGTAACGTTATAATATTGTGCACACCTCTCCCATATGGAACAACATTTATTTCTACTCTATAGAAAAAAGTACATATATTATGAGTGGTTGGAGAAATGGATCTTGTGGTCATTTTGGAGATATTTTCTTGACAACGCTAAATAATCAGACAAAACCATTTATTCAAAGCTTTAGGTTCTATAAAAGTAGAGCAAAGTTTACATTTCTAATGAAGGATGTAGCCTACTGTTAAATAACCTGTTTTTGGTTGTTATGTTAAGTTTGATGCGCAATCTGAGCCTTATTTGCACGGAGGTCTCATAAATTATCATAACTAAACTGAAACAACAAGCTCGATGTTGTTTGCGTTGGATTTAAATGTTTATTCAAAAATACTAAACAAAGTTTAAAGTGCGCATGCGTGGTAATTATGAGCGACATAAATTAAACGGAAGCTGCTGTACTGTGTGTCAAACACAGCTACAAGCTTATTTTGAATTTAAACAATGACTAAAATAAAATATGGTTTTGTGTGTTTAGTTGGAGCGGATGGAACCGAACCTCTGTAGAGAACCCGACAGCTAACTGTTGTCGGTGTTGGCCATTGTTGTCCTCTTTCCGCTAACTAATCAGATGACCAGGAGAAAAAAAACTTACTGTCTTCTTCGGAAAATCTTTTCCCCGCCGAGGTCAAACTTGTCCTGAAGTTGATTAAAAATCATTCGTTACATATCGATACTCTTTAAGCCAACTCAGCAAAAGAACTTGATATTAAAACTTGATTTTTGTTTGATTGTATGTGAGAAAAGAAAAAAAGGACTTCTTCGGAAGTTTACTCGCGCGACTCTCGATTACACACGCCTGAATCCGCCCAACGCTTCTCGTTCTGTTGAGAACAGTTCAGGCTGCTTAATGGAGTACAGATTTAGCGATCGACCCGCTAATTTCAAAAACTTTAAACGCATGTATTTAAACTATTTTTCACAAGCTCAGCGTCATAAATATGATGAAATAAAGTGACAGACATTGTTTTCGTTTTTCAGGAAATATGCAGTCTTGTTTCAGTCATGGAAAGAAGTCTGAAGCGTCCTGGATGTGTATATATATATATATATGTATATATATATACACACACACACATATGTATGTATGTATATATATATGTATGTATGTATATATATATATATATATATATATATATATATATATATATATATATAGTGCCTTGCGAAAGTATTCGGCCCCCTTGAACTTTTCAACCTTTTGCCACATTTCAGGCTTCATACATGAAGATATAAAATTTCAATTTTTTTGTGAAGAATCAACAACAAGTGGTACACAATCGTGAAGTGGAATGAAATTTATTAGATGTGTCAAACTTTTTTAACAAATAAAAAACTGAAAAGGGGGGTGTGCAATATTATTGGGCCCCTTTACTTTCAGTGAAGCAAACTCACTCCAGAAGTTCAGTGAGGATCTATGAATGATCCAATGTTGTCCCAAATGACTGATGATGATAAATAGAATCCACCTGTGTGTAATCAAGTCTCCGTATAAATGCACCTGCTCTGTGATAGTCTCAGGGTTCTGTTCAAAGCGCAGAGAGCATCATGAAGACCAAGGAACACACCAGGCAGGTCTGAGATACTGTTGTGGAGAAGTTTAAAGATTTCCCAAGCTTTAAACATCCTAAGGAGCACTGTGCAAGCAATCATATTGAAATGGAAGGAGTATCAGACCACTGCAAATCTACCAAGACCCAGTCGTCCCTCTAAACTTTCATCTCGAACAAGGAGAAGACTGATCAGAGATGCAGCCAAGAGGCCCATGATCACTCTGGATGAACTGCAGAGATCTACAGCTGAGGTGGGAGAGTCTGTCCATAGGACAACAATCAGTCGTACACTGCACAAATCTGGCCTTTATGGAAGAGTGGCAAGAAGAAAGCCATTCCTCAAAGATATCCATAAAAAGTGTTGTTTAAAGTTTGTCACAAGCACCTGGGAGACACACCAAACATGTGGAAGAAGGTGCTCTGGTCAGATGAAACCAAAATCCAACTGTTTGGCCACAATGCAAAACGATATGTTTGGCGTAAAAGCAATTAGCTCATCACCCTGAACTCACCATCCCCACTGTCAAACATGGTGGTGGCAGCATCATGGTTTGGGCCTGCTTTTCATCAGCAGGGACAGGGAAGATGGTCAGAATTGATGGGAAGATGGATGGGGCCAAATACAGGACCATTCTGGAAGAAAACCTGTTTGAATCTGCAAGAGACCGGAGACTGGGACAGAGATTTATCTTCCAACAAGACAATGATCCAAAACATAAAGCCAAATCTACAATGGAATGGTTCACAAATAAACATATCCAGGTGTTGGAATGGCCAAGTCAAAGTCCAGACCTGAATCCAATCAAGAATCTGTGGAAAGAGCTGAAGACTGCTGTTCACAAACACTCTCCATCCAACCTCACTGAGCTCGAGCTGTTTTGCAGGAAAGAATGGGCAGAATTTCAGTGTCTCCATGTGTAAAACTGATACAGACAAACCCCAAGAGACTTGCAGCTGGAACTGCAGCAAAAGGCGGCGCTACAAAGTATTAACGCAAGGGTCCGAATAATATTGCACGCCCCACTTTTCAGTTTTTTTTTTTTTTTTAAGTTTGACACGTCCAATAAATTTCATTCCACTTCACAATTGTGTCCCACTTGTTGTTGATTCTTCACAAAAAAATAAAATTTTATATCTTTATGTTTGAAGCCTGAAATGTGGCAAAAGGTTGAAAAGTTCAAGGGGGCCAAATACTTTCGCAAGGTACTGTACATATAAATTTTAGAGATGTTATAAAAGGCTGCACATTGAACCAAAAAAAGATCCTCAGAGGAAGTAGCCCTGCTGATGGAAAACTGCAACTGATGTTTGCAAATCACAGGATCTTCACCAGTCTCATACTGATATTTACAACTGGTTTTAAACTGCCGCCCTGAGCAGGATGAAGGAAGTGGATCAAATCTAAAATAGTTAAGTCTGGTCCTCTGAACGGGTTCAAAAAAATCACACACACAAAAGTTTTTGAACTCGTCCAGAGGACCAGACTTAACTATTTTTTTTTCTTTTTTCTACCTGGATTATTAGAGAATGCATCAGAATAAGTTGATCAAATTTTGTTTTTATAGATATTTGAAATAGATATCATTGGCTAACTGTTTGCTTTTTTTCATTTGTAAAAATCAACACATTTAAAAAAATTTCAATTTATGCTCTAATGGCTACATTTTATGTCCTTGTTATTTTATATAGGTTCAATCAACTATTTAAAAAAAAATTATATTATTTTCTTAAAAACAAATGTCTCATCCTAATATCCATAAATATCAATACAATATTTTACAGTTGGTCCAGTTAGTAAATATATTTGATTGTCTTCTGTTAATAAAAAAAAAATGTTATTAAATTTTCTGGAAAAACAACAACAAAACATCAGTTTCAAAGATCAGTTTCACATTCTGGATTTAATAGTGTGACTTTTTGTAAATTTTGTTGCTAAAAAGTAAAAATGTATCAAGCTGATAAAAATGCAAAACATCATTAAAAAGCCCTTTATTTAAAAGAATATGCCACGTTGTGGAAAGTTTCCTGTACTGAAACACAAATTCAGGAGAGAACTCATTGGAAATGAATTTACACTCTGGTTGTTTTTTCTGTTAGCTGAAATACAGCTGTTTTATTTATTTATTTATTTACTGTATCTGCTAAAAGCCTCTGGCAAAGTCAAATGTATTGTAAAACACTTTGAGCTCAAACCTTTCACAATGCAAAGTGAAAGTTGTCTGGGTGAAACTATTTCCTGGAATATCTTGCAACAAGCTCTCGACCTTGACCTCTCTGAGAGGCTTCAAACATCTGCTAAGTTCCTGGGAAAAACCAATGCAGACACGTTGCTGTCTTTAGTTTTCTGCATCGCTTTACATTGTTTGTGTTTCTTTTTTTAATATAATTTTCTTCTATTTATTTTTCCCAATTTATATGCTTTTTTATGATTGTCTATTGTTGTCATCTCTCTTTGTCAATATCAGGTCTCTCTTGTAAATGAGTCCCCGAGGCCCAATAGGATTAACCTGTATAAATAAAGGTTGAATAAAAAAAAAAAATAAATAAAAAAAACAGTTCTGTTTCCAACTTTGCCACTGAGTGGGCATTAATTCACATTTACCTGCAGATGTAAAATTATATTTGTGTTGTTCTCTGTGAGGTAAAAACCAAAAACAAAAGCCGGAATGTGAATCAATCTGGTTTCAGTTTGTTGCCAACAAGAGAAATCATGTGGTTTCCAGTAAGTCAGAAGACCCAAGTTAAGCAAACAAAAATCTGAAAAAACAAAACCAACAAAATAAATCAGTGGTTTTCAGTCACGGATCAGAGAGGCAGGTGGTCAGAGGCGTCTGAGGACGGACAGGAAGATCTGAGCTCCACCACTGAATCTAGACACTTGGAAACACAGAAACTGTGAGATATCTTTTCTGCATATTTACAGATTATTTACCAAATCAAATAAATGTTATTGTTTCTGTAGATTATCATGAATGTTGTAAACATCTGAGCTTTATCTTTATTCTGTATTTGATGAATCGTGACATTAACAGTGTGTGAACTGCCTCTGGTCAGAATCTTTTTACACTGAAGGATCTCTGTTCTTCACCGATTGCGACACATATTGATCTTTTTATAGACCTGATGCCACCTTCATTTTGTAATCCCCCCCCCCCCCCCCCATTCCATTCACAGATGAAACGGCAGGCCTTAGTTTGCCTCACTCTGCAGCTCACATTTGAGGTAAATCCTGACAAATGTGGACCCTTGCTCATTTATCAATGTTTTATTTGTTTTGAAAAGACATAAATCTGAGCTCCTTTCATAGTAAAATCCAAGGTTTCATATTTTCTTTCTTTTTTTTATTTCAGCTTTTTTCATGCACAAACATCCAGATGTTACGAGGTTCTTCAGTGGACCTGCCCTGTTTCTTTCCATTGACGTACGTCCTGGATGCAAATATCACCTGGACATTCAATGGTAATATATAAATATATATGTATATATTATATATTTTTATTCAAATTTCACTGTTGCATATAATTAAAGGCCTAGCATTACGTGTAAGAATGTCCACCTCTTTTAATGCCAGAGTTTCGAACTAAAATGATCTTATGTTGAGAAGTGGCCGAGGTACAATCCTTAAAATAACGTTTTGTGCGATCTCTTGCAACAGTGCAATATCTTATGTGTTGTGAATGACTGTCAGCTACTGCCACATGAAATTATCGCTCAATATGTGAAAACTGACCGAGTTTCAGCCATTTTTGTGTTGGCTAAACTCGTTTGGCTCATTTCAAAGCAAACTGATTTGAAGGTTAATCAACTGTAAAACATCAACATGTAATTATTAGTTTTTGAAGGTTTCAATAAAACATGTCCAGTTACGAAGTTTTGGAAAATCAAGGATTTATGTATTTATTTATTCATTTATTTATTTATTCCGGTGCAGCCAATAAACATGATTTTTTTTTTTTCTGACAAAGCCTAAAAATTTTACTCTTCAAAAAATTTGGTGATATTTTTTTCAAATGCTCTCCTGACCTCACAGTAACTTTACACTCTTGTGTTCCCATGGGGAGAAGCCATGTTAAAATGAATTTTAAATACAACTTTTAATCCCATAATAATCATAATACATAATACATTTTATTTGAAGGCACCTTTCAAATCACTCACGGTCACCAAACAAGAAATACAAAGATAAAAACAACAAAATAATAAAAGACAAATGTCACTAAAATCTAACACAATAAATCGTAGAAAACATAACTTGATGACATGAAACAGAATAAGCAACTTTTAAAAAGTGAGTTTTAAGGTTAGATTTAAGGGCAGAGAATCAGAATTATGGATGCGCAGTGGAAGAGAGTTCCAGAGACGAGGGGCTTTGTGGGAGAAGGCTCTGGATCCCATGGCTGTCAAGTGGGCAGGAGGTATAGCAAGAGAAATGGATAAGGGGGAGCGAAGACTTCGTGCAGGTGTGCAATAGCAAAGAAGATCAGTGAGGTACAGAGGTGCCAAGTTATGGAGAGCTTTGAAAGTGAGGAGGAGAATCTTAAAATCAATGTGATATTTTATGGGTAACCAGTGAAGATGTTTAAGGATAGGGGTGATGTGTTCCTTTGACGTAGTTAATGATCCGAGCAGCTGTGTTTTGGACAAGCTGAAGTTTATGGATGATTTTAAGAGGAAGATCTGAGAGGAGGGAGTTACAGTAGTCTAATCAAGATGTGACTAGAGCATTGATAAGGATGACTGTACTGATGGGAGTAAGAAAAGAACGAGACAGTTGATGTTTCGAAGATGAAAATATGCAGACCGAGTAAAGTTATTGACATGAGATTCAAAAGATAAAGTGCTATCGAGGATGACACCCAGATTCTTAGCTGTATGAAAGTTAGAAACTGTGGAATCATCAACTTGTGAACCTATTACATTTGGATAAAGTAGACTTGGTGCCAACAAGGAGAAATTCTGTTTTCTTGGAGTTTAGTTTAAGAAAGTTTTGACTAAACCATAATTTAATTTTACAGAGGCAGTCTGAAAGGAAGGATGGTGTTGGGCTTGGTGGAGAAGTAGAGTTGGGCGTCATCTGCATAGCAGTGAAAATTAATACAAATTTTTCTAAAAAATTACACCAAACGGAAGAAGATAAACGATAAACAGGAGAGGGCCAAGAACAGAACCTTGTGTAACACCTGAAATAACTGAGGAGGACTGTGACTTGAAGTGACTGTGACTTGACTTTTAATCCCATATACATCATATCGTAAAATAATTAATTCCATAATGTTTTTTAATTTTACCTCTATCCCTATATGTGTGACATATTTGATCACTAGGTGGTGCTCCACTTAAGAGCTTCTGTAAAAATCTACGGAGACAAGACTACTCACCTTACGAGCAAAGCTTTCTCAGCCAGACATCACTGTTGAGTCTTGCCTTTCATCTCGTCCAACAAAATTGTTTTAGTTTAGATTTAAAGAGCAAAAACTCACTTGTAATGTGTGCAAGTAAACATTTAGTCTGAAAAAAGCTGTTTCACATGCATGCAGACTGCAGAATTCAGTTCAGTTTATTTATACAGCGCCGTGTGCTGGTGAAGATTCTCAGTCATCCAGGACATGATAAATTCAAAAAAACGTTCAATACAAAAACAACTGGACTTTATTTGTAACAGAAGACGTTTTGCTCCTCATCTGA